GATGTGCCTCCATTTGTAGCGGGTTTGCGTCAATTTTCATCGCTAGCTTATCAGCGAACTTGAGCCTTCCTTCTTTGAGTGCTTGTTGAACAAGATCCCTAAAAAGAAAACATTGTGAGGTTTTATGGCCCAGAAAATTGTGGTATTTACAAAAACCTCTTTTCTTTCTTTGTTCTAAAGGAGGCATCTTTTCCCCTGGGGGTACTATCATTTGGCCATCTTTGACTAATAAATCAAATATTTCATCACATTTAGTGATGTTAAAACTATATGTTTTCTTAGGGAATTTGTCACTGTTTCTTTCAGACTCAACAGGATTCTTCCCGTTTGAGGGCACTAGCAATTTACAAGAGTATGACAGCCCTTGTTTTAATTCTGCTAAATCTATCTCGCCTTCTTCGACATCTATAGGATCACTAGATGTCTCTGGATCGTCATCATCCATTTCTACATAGGACACTCTTTCTCTTCGATGAGTTTTGGTCGCTTTAGCCTTTTCGGCTTTAAGGCGTTCCACTTGTCAAACTCTATCGACCAGTTGGGCCATGTCTGTCAAGTATTGGGTATCTAACTTTTTCCTAATGGAATAATCCAAGCCCCCTACTGCCATTTCGACCAATTCATGTTCAGGCACTTGGGTAAAGCATCTGGCTTTAAGTAATCGAAACCTATTTAGATACTCATCTATTGGCTCAGTGAATCTCCTCTTCACACTAGCCAGTTCTTTTAGACTTATTTTGGTTTATCCCATGTAAAATTGTTCATGGAACAATCTTTCCAATTGATTCCAATTGTGGATCGAATTGGCTGGGAGGGTAGTGAACCAAGTAAAAGCGTTCTTTGTTAGAGAACTTGGTAAATATTTAATCCTAAGGTTTTCGTTGTTTGCTATTTCCCCAGCTTCTATCAAATATCTCGCCACATGTTCGACAGTAGATTCTGTCGTATCTCCTGAGAATTTGGTAAACTTAGGAACTTTTCCCCTAGGGGGTAAGTCTGTTTGCAGAATATATTCTAATAACGGGGATGTGAAATTTGGTCTGTGAAAACCAATGTTCATCCCATTCTGAATCATAATCCTTTTTATCATGGCAGTCAGATTATTATTTGTTCCATAATTTTGGTGTCGAACTTGTTGTATCAATTCATCAACATTTTGATTCCTATTCACCATAATCACTCCTTGATCGACTTCTCTAGGGATTGGTGGGGTATTTCGAGGTATTTCGACCCTAGGTTGTTCTATTTCTACTCTAGGGATCTGAGGATTTTGATTAACGGTCAAATCCTCTTCCAGGACTACTCCTTGGTTTACTCTTATTGGTATTCTTTGGGGTTGTCGAATAGTTTGGGGTACCCCAAAGAATTCAGCCATGCGCGTTATTTGCGCTGCCATTTGCTAGTTCTACTGGGTAGTATTTTGTATTAGGGGGTTCAGCATTGTACTTAAAGTTTGTGCCAGCATTTGCACCATATCATGGTTGCTTTCATCCATCTGTTGCCTCAAAATTGATGTGGAAGCATTTGTGAGGCTTCGTATTACATGTGATGGTCCTCCTAAAAGTTGGTTTCTACCCAAATTTTCCATACTGGCTCCAGATCCATGTAATGGCGATGACGTGCTCACCAAAGGTTCTGAAAAAGTAGACGCAACGTTCATAAGGCTAACCATTTCAGTGGTTCGCATACCATATGGTTGTTCTCGACCCATCCAGGCTGTCGAAAATCCTGGGGAAACGTACGGTCGAGATCCTGGAAGGGGGTGTTCCTAATGGACCTCTAGGACCTACATACGAAAGTAAGGGTCCTGTTTGATTTGTGGTCAACGTTGGTACTGAACCAGTGAAAGTTGAGATATTTTCTCCAACGGTAGTTATAACCGTTGTTCCAGTAGTATTTGGTGGAGGTATTTCTCCATGATTTGGCTCGTTAGCCATTCTACTTTCGCTATTTCTCTTCCTAACAGTACACTCGTTGGTTATTCTACCAATTCTTAATAACATGTAACGCTGTATACGTATAAAAGGAAAGAAATAACATGAACAAAATAGATGATAAAAATTAGCAACGTTCCACCAGGTGTGCCAATTTGTTTACCATGGTTTTTGGTAAACAACCACTGATCCTCCAAAAAGGAAAGTCCTTTTGGTTACTCGCGGGATCGATCAGATTGATCCCAGAACATATGCTAACTTTTATGCTGGTTTGATGTATAAGTGGATATCTAGGAAGAACGCACGTTCGACCAGGGATATAGTGTTTGTGGTTTTGGAAAGTAAGAAAGTTAATAGAAGTGCAGGTAAAGATGCAGGAAAAGTAACTTTTCAAAAAGAAGATCAAAGTAAATGTAAAAAGACTTTATTAATGAAAAGTGGTGTTTTCAACGTACATTCTCGGTTATTCGTTCGCACATAGCGGGTATTTGAATAATATTGAGTAACTAGCACAATAGGTTGAACACCCATAAAAACTACACATACTTCCTATTTTTATACTAAAATTACGTAACTGTCGAGGGATGGCTTTGCTCTAAGATGAAGACAAATGTCTTCTGCATGTCCCTCGACCTCTATCTTCCTGCCACGTCGCCTTCTCTTAACTGTTGGTGAACTGCCTTTCCCTCAAATAATTCAAATTCAAATATCTTTCGACTTTGGTGTTGACACAAAGGTTTGTTCTTCTAGTCGAAGGTCATAAGACCTTTCCCGTTGAAGGCTTGATGGTGATGCCTGGTCGAAGACCAATTTATAACTTAGATATTTTCTCTAAGTTTTTTCCATCCGTTGAAGCATTCTCCGGCTTGGCTTTATTTGTCCTATTTTTTGGCCCATAAGGCCAATATATAGTAGGTGTCGAATTCAAGAGCCAACACCATGTTGACGTGCGCACTGAGGTACGGTAACCATGAAACACAAATGGTAACATTTCATGCCAGTATTTATATATCACCGTCATCTTTTATATAATCTTCTTTATATTCTTATTGGCAGCTTCCACAATGCCATTCATCTTCGACCGGTAAGGAGAAGAGTTATGATGTTGGATCTTGAATTGTGCACAGAGCTCGGTGATCATAGTATTATTTAGGTTGGTACCGTTATCTGTGATAATTCTTTCTAGGATACCGTACCGACATATGAGATTATGTCTGGTGAACCATGCCACGACGTTCTTAATAACAGAAGCAAATGAAGCTGCCTCTACCCACTTCGTGAAGTAATCAATGGCGACAAGGATGAAACTGTGTCCGTTGGAAGCGGTAGGTATAATTTCTCCAATCATATCAATACCCCATATTGTGAATGACAAAGGAGCAGTTAAGACATTTAACGGAACTGGAGGCACATGTAATTTGTCAGCATAGATTTGGCATTTGTGACAAGTTCGGGAGTGATGATGACAATCTGCTTCCATAGTGGATAAATAGTATCCTGCCTATAGGATCTTTTTAGCCATTGTATGTCCACTAGAATAGGTGCCAAAGGTACCTTTGTGCATATCTTCCATAATCTTTTCCACTTCTTTTTTGTCCATACACCGCAGTAAGGTAGAATCATAGTTGCGCTTGTAGAGAATTTCGTTACTCAGAAAGAACTTGGCAGAGAACCTTCTTAAGAACTTTTTGTCATTGAAAGATGCTCCCCCAGGGTACTCTTGATCTTCGAGATACCTTTTCACCTCGTGGAACCAAGGATTTTCTTCTACTCCCTCAGCATCAATCTCATAACAGTGGGCCGGTTCGTTTAATCTTTCAATAGTGATATGAGGAGCTTCTTCATCCCATATGACTTTAAACATGGATGACATAGTGGCTAGCGCGTCCACTAACTGATTTTCTTCTTGTGGAATATGTTCAAAGGTAATCTCTTTAAAGTATGGAATCAATGTCAATACATGCTCTCGGTACGGGATGAGATTAGGATGCTTTGTGTCCCATTCCCATTTAACTTGGCTGATCACCAAGGCTGAGTCTCCATATACCTGTAAGAACTTGATTCTCATGTCAATAGCCTGCATGTTTCATATTCGACCATATTGTTGGTGCAATTAAAACATAGTCTGGCGGTGAAGGGTGGTGTATTTCCGAGTGCGTTGGAAGCTCCATCAAAGACCATCCATCGAGATCCTTTTTCAAGTCTTTCATTCGGTCCAAGTTCATTGACTGATAGTCGTCTACAGCCTGTGATGAGCCAAATGATCAGCTAGTACACTCCCTTTGATTGCTTTTTGGATAGTGTACTGAATGTCTGTCGTATTCGGTCAGGACCATCTACCATCTTGCTATTCTTCCGGAGAGAGCGGGCTTCTCGAACAACAAGTTTTCTCGAGCAATGAGATCTTGTTTCAATGACAATTTTGTATGTTCGAGATTGCACAAATACTTTTGAATGATTGCACAAATACCTAGAATGTTTTGAATGTTCTATAAATTATAATTCAAATGTTGGATGAAGTTCAATAATTTAAATGAATGTGAGAGTACATTTCTTATTACAAAACTAATCCGATTGAGAAAATAAAAAAACGTCTCTCAATAACGTTAATTTTTATATGCTTTCTATGTTGTTTATCTCCGAATACCCTGTTGATGTTATGTCATGTTAGAACTATGACGTCAATTTTATATGATTTATATATGTTAGAACTATGTTACATGTCTTTAGAACTATTGACGTGTTAACATTATATAAAGTTGATCTTGGTGGAAAACGAAGTACCCAGTTCTATATTAAAACAGGTGTCAAAAGAGAGACAACCAAACGTTCAAATACTTGGACTCACTCAAACAACATTTGTAACTGAACCAACAATTCATCGATTTCAAAGTAATGAAAGAAACAATTTTTATTCCTGGAGCATTCAATTCAACCACACATTGTGGTCCTATCCTATCACTAGCTCCATTCAGATCAAATGAATCAAAAACCAAAAACAGGTGTCAAAAGAGAGACAACCAACCAAACAAAAACAAACACCAAAAACCACTCACAAATCATAAATCAATTTTCTTCATCTTCCTCAAAACGAATGTGCTTTCCTTTTGGAGTTGGCAACCCTTTCAAATGCAAAACCTCAGAATCACAACCACCACATTCCTCAACAACCTCCACAATCTCATCATCATCACTACCATACACAAACCTCATATGTTTCCCAGCAAATTTCGGAACAACCTTTTCATTCACACCAATGTTGCTCAAACCCTCACATAGTTCATCAAGCAACAGCCCTCCATCAACATGCTCTTCCTCTTCATCAGCACCTTCATAGTAATCATCTCCCTCCTCATCATATTCAACTTCACCTATTTCCTCATCTTCATCTTCATCATCATGTGTACTCGCATTCACTTGAATCGACCAAATGGAATCACCATCATCTTCTGTCGACCCCATCTTGGAATCTTCTGTAATCTCAGATTTGTCTGAGAAATCTAACAGCAGTGGACTTAACACACTCTTTTCAGATTCAATCTTCTCTTCATTCTTTCCAACAGCTCCTTCATTCACCACCTAAAATTGAAGTAAGAAAATCAAACTCAACATATGAATCACATACACCAGAGACACAACACATGGACAGTGAGACGACATAATAACAAACATCTGTGTCAATTTCACACACAACCCTATAACACAAACACATTTTTTTTCAGAGATGTCAGTATTGCCTAGAACTCAACTAATAAAAAAAAATTATCATTTTCTTGAAAAAATTAGGGAAGACTGAGACAAACCTGAGGGATGAGATGTTCTTGGACAACAGAAGAAGGTGAGAACTCTGTGACACCAGTGACAGCATTGTTAATATCTGGGATTTGAGGGGTATTTGCAGGAGTTGGTGCAAGAAGATGCATTGGAGAGTTAACAAATTGAAGAAAAGGACGAGAATCCATTGTGCGTTTTGAAATCTCAGCTTCTTCTTCAACTTTCTGCAAAAGCGTCTTAACCTGACCCCTCAGCAAAGCTTCACCAGAGCCAGGAGTCTTCTTCATTCGGCTTCCCCGCTGCTTCGCAATACTCGACAGCGGCGTCTCGATCTCGCCGCTCGCAAGTCCAACGATCGGAGAATCGTTCGATATGTCAATCAGCGCACACCGATCCTGTTGTTGTTGCACTTGCCCCTTTCTTTGTCTTGACTTCGACAGACTCTTCTCCGATTCCTCGATCTTTCCTGAATCAAGAAAACGAAAATAATCAAAACCCATTTCCAAAAATCCAATTTTTATTCAAGAAAAATCATCAAACATGAAAACAATTGAAACCCATCATCCAAAAATTGATCAAAACCCATTTCGAAAAATCCAATTTTTATTCAAGAAAAATCATCAAACATGAAAACAATTGAAACCCATCATCCAAAAATTGATCAAAACCCATTTCGAAAAATCCAATTTTCAAGCAAGAGAAATCATCAAACATGAAAACGATTGAAACCCATCATCCAGAAACCATTACACATGAAACAATCAAAACCCATTTTCGAAAATCAATATTTAGATAAAAGAAAATCATCACTTACTTGAAATCGGAATGTTGTTGGTGTTGGAAGCTTGTGATCTTGTGACTCTTGCGGTGGATGAAGGAGTCTCCATGGTTGAAATTTGATTGAAAGTAGTTGAAATACACGAAGCGAGATTTGAGCGCAAGAATGCTTGTAAGAAGATAAAAGCAGATGAGATATTAGGGCAAAAAGTGGGGTTTATAAAGGAGGGTAGAGAGCGTAAAATATGACCGTTGGAGGAAAAAAAACAATTTACAATGAACTAGCCGTTAGGATACAGTTTTGAACATGGGCTTATCTGGGTAGGGTCATTGGGGAAATAGCCCAATAGAAATAGATTATTAGTTAGTCTAAAAACCTTTTTTTTACTTCTTTACCCCCCACACAAATTCACCTAATTTTTTTTTACTTCTTACCCCCACACAAATCCACCTAGTCAAATTTGCTTCTAAATTTTTTAAGAAATTTTACCCAGCCCATACTAATCCCATCTATAAAAGGACCCTCATGTATTTTCATTCAAGGAAATACAAACTAATTTCACATTAATTTTAAAAAAATTCCTCCAATGATAGAGAGACGAAGGAGATGAAAAATACCTCCAAAAACCATTCAATGAAGAATATCTTTAAGAAAACATTCAAAAATTCAAGCATAAACCCAACTTACTATATGAGCAATTTAAATAATTTAAAATCTATTGGTGGTTGTTCAAATGAATGAAGGCAATTATCGCATTTGGTCAAGAGAAATCAAGACTATATTGAATGCAAAAACAAAATTGAGTTTCGTTGAAGGATCAATCAAGAAACACAAAGCCAAATCAAAATAATTTCATTATTGAGAAAAAGTCTAATGATTAATTAATTCCATAAAGGCAAGTCTTTATAATATGTTGTTACACGATTTTAAAAAAATCCAGCCATAAAAAAAATTATCAGTTCGAATCGAGGATTAGGTCACTCTTTTTAAGACGATTCACAACACTGTTCAAAATTATTCAAAATAGTCGAACTATTGCGTCGCCTCTAGGATAAAACAATTCAGTTCTATACTCTATGATTACTATTTGTACGGTAGATAATCGGTCTAGAAATACACTCTTTGATGGTACTAAGACCATTCGAATATTGTATAAATACCACCATATTATCTGATATAACTGCCAGTTGTAATAATTTCTCAAATCAAGAGAAATTTCAATAATTCCTAAAGAGAATTCAATAATGGTCATTTGACCACTCAAAAAAATTTCTCAAACAAAGAAAAATTCGAACAATTCTCTAATGAGAATTTGATAGCTCCTAAATTCTACACCAATAAGTTGGTCTTATGGGCCAAAAATAGATTGAACAAGTCTAAGTTGGAAAGACTTCGATAGAGTAGAAAAGTACTTAGAGAAATTATAAGTTAAAACGAGTCTTCAACCAAAAGGTTCTCGTATCCTTTGACCGAAAGGGTTCTAAGGTCTTCGACTAGAAGGAAACTTTGTATCCGCAACAGAAGATTTTGAATCTGAAGAAAGGAGGGAAAAGCAGTTCGCTTGGCAGTTGAGAAAAGCAACGCGGCGTGTAGAGAGGGGTCGAGGCGCATGCAGAAGACACTTGTCTTCATCCTAGAGCAAGGCAACTCCTCGACGGCTACCTAGTTTTAGTATAAATATAGGAAGTTTGTGTAGATTTACGGGTGTTCAACTGATCGTACAAATTATTCAAGTACCCGCTGCGTGAGAAAGAATACTGAAAATGTACATTTGAAACACCATATTTTACAATCAAAGTCTTTTATTTCTCTCTTTACATTTATTGCCTTTTTATCTTATTTTCACTTTATCTGCACTTTTACCCAGATTCTTGCACCTAAACTCTCCTCAACCCCTTTTTTCTATTTACTTTCTACACTCAAACTCATCCCTTTCACGGTCGAACATGCGTTCTTCACTTACATTAGCATTTATGTCCAAACAACATCAAAAATTAGCATATGTCCTAGGATCAAACTGATCGATCCTGCGAGTAACCAAAAAGTTACCCCTTTTTGGAAGATCAGAGGTTGTTTACCAAAAAACTCAGTGAACAAATTGGCACGCCCAGTGGGACCTTGCTAATTAATGTTGCTTTATTTATTTTGTCTTCCAATTTTTCTTATTAATCTTGATATAAATGCTTCGCATAATTTTCTTTCTTTTACAAAGTTTTGCATGCTATTAAGAAGTGGTAATTAACCACTAACGAGTGTACAACTAGAAAGAGAAATAGTGAAAGAAATATGGCTAATCAGCCAAATAATGGAGAAATACCTCCACCAATTACTACGGGAACAATGGTAATACCAACAGTTAATGAAATTGTCTCGTCAACTGTTGGTTCAATACCAACGTTAACAACAACCCAAACGGGACCAATACTTTCGTATGTAGGTCCCAGAGGTCCAACAGGAACACCCCCACCAAGGGTGAATCCAGGATCTCGATCACACGCTCCCCCAGGATTTTCTACAGCCTGGATGGGTCGAGACCAGCCTTATGGCATGCCAACTACTGAAATGGCTAGCCTTATGAACGTCGCGCCTACATTTTCAGAACCTTTGGTAAGTGCATCTTCACCATTATAGGGATCTGGAACTGGTATGGGTAGGAACCAACTTTTAGGAGGGACATCCCATGCAACGCCAAGCCTCACAAACGCTTCCACGTCAATTTTGAGGTAACAAATGGATAAAAGCAACCATGAAATGGTACAAATGTTGGCCCAAACTCTAAGTACAGTATTGAACCCTCTAATACAAAATACCACTCAGTCAAACCAAAAAATGACAGCGCAAATGGCGCGCATGAATGAATTTTTTGGGGTTCCCCAACCTATTCGACAACCCCAGAGAGCTCATATGAGAGAGGATCAAGGTGTAGTCTTAGAAGAAGATGTAACTATTAACCAAAATCCATAATTCGATAGGAGGAACCACATAGTAGAAATCGAACAACCTAGGGTCAAAAGACCCAGACTTCCCCTGCAGATCCTTAGAGATGGTGATCAAGGTGTAATGATGGTAAATAGAAACCAAAATGCTGACGAACTGATACAGCAAGTTCAACACCATAATTATGGCACAGAAAATAATCTGACAGCCATGATCGAAAGGATCATCATACAAAATGGAATGAACGTTGGCTTTCATAGGCCAAATTTTACATCCCCACTATCAGAATATATCTTGCAAACAGATTTACCCCCTAGGTGGAAAGTTTCAAAGTTCACTAAGTTTTCAGGGGATACAACGAAATCAACTGTCGAACATATAGCGAGATATTTGATTGAAGCTGGGGAAATATCAAATGATGAGAGCCTTAGGATTAAATACTTCCCAAGTTCTCTAACAAAAAACGCTTTTTCTTGGTTTACCACCCTCCCAGCCAATTCAATCCACAATTGGAATCAATTGGAAAGATTGTTCCATGAATAATTTTACATGGGACAAACCAAGATAAGTCTGAAAGAACTGGCAAGCGTGAAAAGAAGCTTCACCGAGCCAATAGACGAATATCTAAATAGGTTTCGACTGCTCAAAGCCAGATGCTTTACACAAGTGTCTGAGCATGAATTGGTCGAAATGGCTGCAGGAGGCCTAGACTATTCTATTAGGAAGAAACTAGATACCCAATATCTGAGGGACATGGCCCAATTGGCCGATAGAGTTCGACAAGTAGAACATCTTAAAATTGAAAAAGCTAAAGCAACTAAGACTCATCGGTGAGAAAAGGTAGCCTATGTCGAAATGGATGATGATGGTCCAGAGACATCTAGTAATCCTATAGCTGTCGAAGAGAGCGAAATAGATTTAGCAGAGTTAAAACATGGGCCTCCATACTCTTGTAGAGTGTTACTGCCCTCAGATGGGAAGAATCCTACTGAGTATGAAAAGAGCAGCGATAGATTTCCAAAGAAAACATATAGTTTCGACGTCACAAAATGTGATGAGATATTCGACTTGTTAGTGAAAGATGGCCAAATGATAGTTCCCCCAGGGGAAAAAATGCCTCCTTTAGAACAAAGAAAGAAAAGAGGTTTTTATAAGTAACACAATTTTTTGGGCCATAAAACTTCACAATGTTTTCTTTTCAAGGATCTCGTTCAAGGAGCAATCAAAGAGGCATACTCAAATTTGCTGACAAACCCCAAATGAAAATTGATGCAGACCCACTGAGACATGATGCCCACTATGTTGTACCAGCAGGCATTAAAATGGTCGAAACTTCTGAAGACTTCGTCAATATGCCGGTCTTTGGAAGTTTTACTGGGAACATCTCCAGAAAGACTACAAAAGCGGTTATAAAGGCCACTGAAGGCCTAAACAAGAAGGCTACTGAAAGCCTAAGCAAAGGAGTTCCTGAAGACTCAAACAAAAGGACTACTATAAGTTCTTATGTGGCTGCCGTCAAGGGTTCGACAGAGGACCTTGAAGCCAAAATGCAAAAAATGAATCTCGCTGCCAAGAGCAACGTACAAGTCAACATGGTCGAAGTATCTGAGGCAAAGGCTTCAGAGGAAGCCATTAGACAAGAGGAAGTGAATAAAACTGCATTTCCAAAAGAAAATGAGAATCTGGTTGACTCTCTACAACGATGCCATAAGAAGAAGTCTGAAGTTCTGTTCTGTTCAAGATACAGCTTCATCTTCGATAAAAAGGCTACAGAACACATGCAGGGCATAAGGGCAATGAAGGAAAAAAGGGCCACCAATTCCCAACCCCACTTTGTTTCTGAAGTTAGATACGATCCCAGAAGAGGACTAGTGAACAAGGTGAAGAGGCCATCAACTTTCAGGCCTCCAACAAATGTCCCCGTGGACACTTGGCTAAAGACAACAAACAAGAAAAGGCCAAGAGAAGAGAAATGGCGAACCTTCAATGTGCCAAGAGGGTCATCCTTGGCATATAGGAAGGAGTTCCAAACTACAACTACAAACAAAGTGGCTCATGTGTCGAGCAACTATAAGGGGAAGAACCCCATGTCTCGCTCCCAGTGGAGAAGATTTCAAAGACAGTGAAAAGCCGAAAGAGAGGATATAGAAGAGCCTCAAACAGAGTCAAGCA